AGATACCCTAAATGATATGGCCCAAAATCGTATCAAGGCGCAGGTGCATCCGCTCTTCGTGTTCTCTTGAGTCTGAATCTTCTAAAATTCCTCATAATTTCTATCTTTCTAAGTTCTTTTCCCTAGATTTTACTTTTTGAATAGTAATATCTTCGAACCCCAATCTTCTCTATTACAGCTGATGCTTCTACAACCTCTAATACAATGGGATTTGAAATGATAATTCGTTCTCTATATGCTAATGCGGTATGGCAACTCGAATTCATGTACGTACAAACTGAGTTCTACGTTGTAGTTGACTGACTGAGGAATCCTAAGTTAAGACAAAAGGGTAATTTGAATTTTCGAAAATTTACTCCATAGAACTAGGAACAGAAAATGAACACTTTTCATTTTAAACAAAAACCTCCGTACAACATTATCATCAGTTAGATGTAGGTAATGTAAAGATCGGCAATATTATTAACCTAGGAAGTGTATACTGTTTGAATCAATATTTCCCCTATCAGATTTGAAATGAAATACCTATGTGGTTGTAAAATCTATTGTTATGAACGAGAACACAGGTAGGGCAACCGGATTGTATTTAACGAAAATTACAGAGTTAATCAGTAAAATCGGAAAACCATATCGTAAATCGTTCAGTTGCAAAATATCAGTTCATCATATGGAACTGGACTGTTCCTGTTGCAAAACATCAATCCATTGTCACTATTCATGCGTTTCATACAAATTCCATTGTTTTCTAACTCTTCCTTTCTTGATTTTCTCCCATCTTCTACTGCTAGACATTACGTTGACACTGACGTCATATACTACTTATAAGTAGCTCTCACCACACTATGACTATGGAACTTGTTGATAACTAAATATAGTTTAACATGCTGATGTTTTGTTTTTGTAAGTTGATTGATTTAATTGTGAAGATCAAAATTTTGCCTAGAAAATCCCATTTTTAAATAAACATCAGTGTTGATTAACTCTCCTTGTATTAATTGATATGTTCTGGCAATTTCGGTTAAACTCAAATTTTCTTCCAGACTCTACATTACTTATGTCTTATTACTGATTGATTACTGCCAAAAACCAGTTCGCTTTGATGGTATTGTTTGCGAATGATTTTCTTTCATTCACTTAATGTTTCATAAATATTCTATTTGATTGGTCTTTTTAAAAGCTTGATTGATTTAAATTTAATTCCGTTTAACTGAAGAATAGTTTGAATTCATTTGTCAATCTTTATTAATTTAAAGAAATTGGCCTGTATGTCAAGCGCTTGAAGAAATTTTGTGCCATTCTTGAAATACTTGCCTGGGCCGTCGACCAGCATTCTTGAAAAATACACTGTCCTGAGCCTTCCTCTCTAGTTCCTTCATCACAGCTGATGTTCATTCGTCTCATGTCTGTCTCTAGTTCGACATAACATGTTCTCTGTGGTCTTTCTCTTCTCCTTTTTGGCATTGAAGAAGATTCCACGTGACGGATTGTCTTGTTACACAGTTAGGTGCTTTCTTGAATCTGTGTTCTATTCACCTCCAGCGCTTCTTCCGGATTTCTTTCTCCGCTGAAATTCTTGCAATAAGTAACAATGAATTTCTTTTGTTGATATTTATGTTCAATACGATTTAGCTTGTAGTATCAATAAACACCTGAAAATTGAACAAAAGAGCTTCATCTATTGAAAATTGATTACTAATCTCTCATTCTGTAGAACTTATGAATTTATATGCTTTTTCTCAAGCGAGTTTCTTCTGTACTCTATGTTGGGGACGTTAGATTCCCAGATCTCGCTTGATAAATGTCTTGATTTTCAATTTTATGTTTCCCAGCATGGGCTGATCAGTTGACCCTGAGTTTTCATTTCCCATCAGGAAAGTCCTTGTCTGTGATTGGCTACTGTGTATTTTAGCGTGCTACTTTTGTGACTGTCCAAAGGACGTTTCTATGATGTATAAATGAACGAGATTTGTGTGCTTGATTGCATACTGCTGCTTGTTGGGTGTTTTTAGAATATACTTTCTACGCTACATCAAGAATTTTCATTAGTCAGCAGATCAGAGTAGCCTACCTGGACACTGGTTGATTGCCTCGTTCTAGTTTATCGACTAAGGTGAACCCGTAATAATTTCGAGCATACCTAGTGACGAACCTAACACTCTACCCTTATTCTTTATGTACCAGTAAAATTTACAATCGATGATAAAAAATGTTCTTCTGAATAACATCATCAGTACAAACTTTCAGGTAGAAGGGGTATTTCAACTTCTTACCGTATGATTCGTAGCTTCCCTGTCAAGATCGAGGTCAGTCAGTCAATCAGTCAGTCAGCTATAATGTAGAACTTCGTACGTAAGGCACATCAGTTCAAGTTGCCATATCAGATTAGTACAGAGATGCAACTGTCACTTCAAATCCCATAGTAGTAGAGGTAGCAGAAGTATCAGCAGTAATCGAAAAGATTAGGGTTTCGAATATATGATTCGAGAAACATAAATTTAACAAGAGAAATATAAAGGTCATGAGGAATTCAGAAGTCTGAAATAAGGAGAACATAAAAAGTGGATGAACCTGCGCGATTTCAAGCGGTTATGAGCCATTTCGCTCAAAGTCTCTAACCATTAGTGACTTTCATCTCGCGGATCTCCAATAGTTAGTCTGCAACTACCAACATGACTTAGTCCACTTGTCAGTGACTTCATTGATTTGTGCGATGTTTTGGTTTGGCCACCACTAGCTTTCTTCCAGCCTTCTCAAACGCCACTAAAATTAGCTCGTCGAGGCAGTCGGTGGTCGGGGATACGTAACACATGTCCCAACCACCTCAACTAATACAGTTTCACTTTTTCATCAACTGTCTTGGAATCGTAAACTAGCCTCTGTTACCTAACAGCAGCATTGTTCACCCGGTGGTTCGAAGAGACCTAGGATCGAATACTTGTAACCTATGAATATCTTCTACTCTTACTGGCCATGTTTCACAGCCATAAAGTAGGACGGAGCGAACTACTGTACATTGAATTCGACTTTGGTTAGTAGCCGGATATCTCTCGTACACTATAAATGACACAATTTAGTGAAAGCCAAGAGAGCTTTTCTTTCGGTACCAAGATTTTGTTACACCATTACATTAGGCCACCAAGACAAGTCAAGCGGTCAACACACGGAACTAATTTACTCCTTACCACTAGTCCAGATGTGATGTAACTCAGTCCATTTTAAGGGGTGAACCGCCTCCTGAACGTGCTCGCATTTTTTATTAAGGTGGTCATAAGACTCTACATGTCAGCGTCTTCACCGAATAGTAGTATGTAATCCGCGTATTCTAGGTCAGTAAGCGAATATCCTGGTAGAAGGTCCACTCTTGAAAAGTCATACGATGATAATGTTAAAGTCAACCAATGTATTTCCTGGTAAAAGTTTAATTTATGAGAAATTATATGAGGAAAGTGTTTTTTTCTAAAAAAAGATGTCTAAGACAAAGTTGCATCAGAAAGGAGAGAGTGGTAACCAATTTCAATGATAGTTCACCATAAGCTCTAACTTGACTTGTAGTATTCGAGTTGAGAGCATGTATAAACTTAACGTACTTCTCTGGTACACCTTTCAATGACAAACACTGCCACAGAACCTCATGATCAACAAAGTCAAACGCCACTTTAAGGTCTAAGAAAACAACTATTTTCGGACGTCTGGAAGTGTATCTATATTCCAGAACCTAACATAGATTGAATATCCGGTCTATACATCCATGTCCAGGTCTAAAACCAGCTTGGTTTTCTCTAGTCTTCTTTTCATGAGCTCTAGTTACACATCGAAGCATTCATTATTGAAGTCCACAAATTTTAGTCAATGGACAAGATGGAGGATGTCCATTGCTTTTAGATTTTTTTAATAATGGTCTAACAATGACAGATTCATGACGTCAGATATATATCTATACATATACATATCTACATATCTACATATACTTTCCCGACCGTAGCTGCTACCTTGACGTGGTGGTCGAGCTTGCCTATCGTGATGATCCAACCGAGCTATACTGGCTGGAACATATGTTCCTGAAGGTTCTACCATGCCAGGCTGGTCGATTGGAGAACGATGAGACTAAAAGCAGCTACCCAAGGTCTGAGGGCGAAGTCGTACTGCTGACTGACTGTCAAGGGGTGTGACGGCAGTAAAGTGTTTCCCTCGGACAACCAGCATCTGCAGCGATGCTGCCTTCTCACAAGGAAGGAAGTGTTAGAAAAGGTCGGCCCTAAAAATGTCACACCTCCCCTACCTCACGGATTTCCGTCTCCTTGGGTAAGGGTGCCCACTAAGGGCCTTTGAGAACGGAGCTAATCCTCAAAAAAGCTTTCATCAAAAGGCCGTGCGTGACGGGCCTCAAGCAGTTGTCCCTTGGGCTCTGCGGTCACGCACCCAGGTCTCTAAGACCAACTCTAATCTATCTTCCTTTTCAGGTTCCTCAAGAAACAACCTTTCACGGTGTGGGCACCCGGGAAGTGACAACCACCCTCATACCCGTAACAGCACAAGAGACCAATGTGGTCGAAATCAAATTTCTCATTTAATCATACTTCTTGAATAATATCTTCTAATCCTAACCTCTCCAATTACTTCTAATACCCTTACTAACTCTACTACTACTATTGAATTTGAATTGACAATTACATCTCTGTGTGCTGATGTGGTATGGCAACATGAACTAATATACTTACGTACGAAGTTAGTTCTACGTTGCATCTGACTGACTGACATATACTTTACTTACTTGGCCTAAATTAAAACTCATACGCAACAAATATCGTCAATATATATATTCACTGAATTTCATTTATCATCAATCAATGTGATTTACAAAAGATATGTATATCATTGAAAATACATTATTATTATTATTTCCTATTGTTTGCATTATGTTTTTTTATATTACTGAATAACATTTATTTATATAAAAACAAAGGAGAAACAGTAGTCATAATAACTAATAACTTCACAACATGAATCATATGATAAGTCTGAGAAAAACATTTTTTGTTAGTAGTAGTTATACTACTATTAATACTACTACTACTACTACTACTACTACTACTACTACTACTACTACTACTACTACTACTAGTAATAATAATAATAATAATAATGATAATAATATTGCTAGTTATGTTTTGATAAAAAAAAAAAGAAGTCTGCCATTTTTGTCTTCATATTTCCCTGCTAACAACAACAGTTGATTTCTAGTTCTATTCAATGACTGTAACATGTTGGTAGGTAGATAGGTGAGTAGGTAGGTAAATGGTAATATAATGTGTAGTAGCATGTATGCAGTTTTTTTGTTTTGCATTCAGATATGCATATACATAATATTAATTGGCATGCAAAAAAAATTAATAATTAAAACGATACTAGGTAAATATATATATGACTTGTCAAATTTTTTGAGAGAATTGTGTGAGTTTCACTATGGGGTTGTGAAGATTATTGTTAAGTTACACACATTTTTGAAACCATGAATCGATCAATGTTAGACCACCTTTAAAAGAAATCTGGAAGCATTGAAAGACAGCCGTTTCGTCCTGGTATGGGACTCATCAGTGGCAGTGCTCATCCACGACTCCTGAACCCCGCAGGATTCGAACCCAGGACCTTCGATCAATTCACGGAGTTGATCAAGTTAGACATTAACACCGTTAGATACCGGCTCAGTGGTCTAACGGTTAGGGCGTTCGCGTACAATACCGGAGGTCCCGGGTTGGAATCCTGCGGGGTGTGGGAGTCGTGGATGCGCACTGCTGAGGAGTCCCATACCAGGACGAAACGGCCGTACAGTGCTTCCAGGTTTCTGATGGTGATATAACATTGATCAATTCATGGTTTCAAAAAAACGTAATTTTCACTACGGGGTTGAGTAAAGATTGTTAAGTTACACATTTAAAAATCATACAAATTGATCAAAATTAGACCAGCATTAAAAGAAATCTGGAAGCACTGAAAGACGGCCGTTTCGTCCTGGTATTGAATTCATTAGTGGCAGTGTGCATTCAAGACTCCTGCCGACTTGCAGGATTCGAGCCCAGGACCTCCGTTCTTGAGCGCGAATGCCGGATCAGTGGTCCAGAGTTTGGTCGTTCATGATTTGAAATATAAGTTTAACAAAAGAAATAACGTTCAGTATTTGATGATAAGTAGGTCATAGATATATATATTGATTTTCTTTTTCCGTCAAAATCATTATTGTAAATATGTATGAGTTTTAAATTGAGTATATGCATCATGTTCTCAATCAACGTATTTATGTGGTGATCGACTTCATTATGATGACGCCAACATCCGGAGTGGAAACATGGGATATAGTTAAGAGATAGGAAGCAGCTGGACGATCTAAACTTCGCAGATGATCTGTCACTTCTATCACACACGTACGCAACAGCAAATGCAAGGGAAGATGACCAGTGTAGCAGCAGCCTCTGCAGTAGGAGGTCTCGACGTACACAAGGGGAAAAGCAAGAACCTTAGATTTGACATAATTCACATCAACTAAATCACACTTGATGGAGATTCTTTGGAAGATTCGGAATCTTGTACATAGCTGGGCAGTATTATTGATGAGCAAGGTAGATCTGGTGTAGATGTAAATACGCGAATCGTCAAAGCAAGGGTGGCATTTCTACAACTGAAGAACATCTGAAACTCAAAACAGCTATCAACCAACACCAAAGTTAGCAGTTTCAATGTCAGAACTGCCCTCTTCTATGTTACAGAAACTTGCAATTACAAAAGCTATTATCCGCTGACCAGACACCATCAATAATAATTTACTGTGCTTGAGGACAAACCAGATTCCAGTAGAGGAGGAAATCGGGAAAAACCGCTCGAAGTGGATAGGATACTTAATGAAGAAAGCACTCAACCGGATCAAAAGGGAAGCCCATACTTGGAATCTTCTAGGCAAACGGAAAAGAGGAAGTCTAACGAACACATGACTTCGAGAATTAGAGGCAGACATGAAAAGATTGAACAGTAATTGGTTAGAGCTCTAAAGAAAGGCCTAAGACAGAGTAGGTTGAAGAATAGTGGTCGGCGGCCTATGCTCCATTGGGGGTAACAGGCGAAAGTAAGTACATAATGACTTGATTTTGAAACTTTGACTGTTATTCAATTTGAAATTTGTGGTGATGATATTGTTAAGAATGATAATTTTAAGCTTACACCATTCAACTTAAATAGATTGAAATTGTTAATCTGTATTTTCTTGATATCATAATCTCATAGTTTTACGCATTTCAGAAGAATGAACTGTGCCGGAGTTTCGTTCTTTATGAGCTTCGGATGTTATGGTAGTGGAGCTTGCATTGTTCTTCTTCTGAACAACATCGTCATCATGAGCACAAACTTCAGGTAGAAGAGAAGAAGTAGTTGTTGACATTAAACTTGTCAACAACAACAAAAACCACTCAAGATTGAGGTTAACAGAACAAACTACTCGTTCATGTGTGAAGAATTTCGAATACTTCAGACTTCTACCGTGAAGTTTGTGCTGATGATATTGTTGTTCTTCAGAAGCAGAACAATGTTAGCTCCACAACCAAAATATCAAGCTCACTCAGAAAGGAGAACGAAACACCATCACCACAAACATCCATCTGAGCTACAAATTTTCTCCACCATCTTAGAAGGATGAATTCAAATGGTTTCCCATGTACAATCGGTACACTTAATTGGAGTGGGAAAGAAACAAACGAATACCAGCTGAAATAAGGTAAAAAAAACACAAGAAAAGTATTGCGAAAAATGTAATGACCGATTGTTTGTAAAATTCCTTTTTAGATTATTGACAAAGATGTTAAGATGGTGTGATGATTATGTTGTTCAGCTGGAAAAACGAAAGCTTCACAACAAAGAGATTCAGCTCAAAGAACGAAACATCACAACAAAGATGTTAAAATAAATTTATAAGGTTGTTTAAAGACTGTACTTTAGCACACCACAAGAAGGTCCATCGAAAATATTGAAGAAAATGATGTACTACTATATAAGTAATCGATTCCATAAAAACGATGGTACATATAAATTTAGAATGTAAAGACTAAGTTTGATATCATTCTTAAAGAAAGAGCTGTAGAAAGACATTTATCAATCAATCAATAGCAACGTAGAACTTTGTACGTACGAAAATTAGTTCATGTTGCCATATCACAGAAAGGATTTGATTGTGACCAATTTGGTCTCGTGTGTTTTTATGAGTATGAGGGCGGATATTACTTCCCGGTTGTCAGTGGGGGCATCGGCCTCATGACTTCTGAAGGAACTCGGCTTTCATCATGAGACGTCATAATTCTGCTAAATGAAGACCAAATTAATGATCTGTGAAAATTTAACAAACTAATTTGTTTATATTTTTAAATAATTCAATTATTTTTTTGTTTTATTGAATGATTTTTATTAGATAATTCAAATTTCACAATAAATAACTATTTTTCCAATAATGTACATGTGAATTTATTATAATATTTTTTTTTGTACAAATAAGTAGTTAGCATGACGGGGTTGTGAAGATTGAGTAAGTTACACACATTTTTGAAACCATGAATCGATCAATGTTAGACCACCACCATTAGAAACCTGGAAGCACTGAAAGACGGCAGTTTCGTCCTGGTATGGGACTCACTAGTGGCAGTGCTCATCCACGACTCCCGCACCCCGCAAGACCCAAACCCGGGACCTTCGGTATTGTGCGCGGACGCCCTAACCGTTAGACCACTGAGCTGGTATCTAAGGGTGTTAATGTCTAACTTGATCAAATTATCGGAGTTGCGCAACCTCATACACAGTCTTCGGTAGACACTGCCTATACCGTGGATTACACTTCCCACCAGCGAAGTCCTCGGCTGTCATTGGTTGATGTGCTGTTGCAGTATGCTACTTTTGTGACTCTCACAAGGACGTTTCTATGATGTATAAATAAATGCTATTTGTTTGCTTAAGATCATTATATTTACTGGGTGCTTGTACAATACACTTTCTACGCTATATCAAGACTTTTCGTCATTTCCTTTGGGGCAACGAATCAGCGTAGCCTACCGCGTCACTGATTCATTCCCTCGTTCTCATTTATCGACTAAAGTGAACCCGTAATAGTTTCAAAGTATATCAAGTGACGAGCATAACAGTTAGAAACCTTAAATGTCATTGCTCAAAATTGTTTGGAATGGCACAGGTGAGTCAAATCGCTGTGTTCTCTCAAATGCCAATCATTAGAATTTCTTATGACGGTTTCTTACCTTTTTTAAATTGATTTCTACTGGGATTTACTTCTTGAAGCATATCTTCAAACCCTAATCTTCCCCGATCACCGCACATACTTCTACTACCTCTACTACATATGGGATTTAAATTGACAGCTGCATCTCTCCGTGATAATGTGGTATAGCAACTTAAACCAGCGCCTTAGACAGCTCGGCGGCCAAACCAAAACATGGCAGAAATCCATGAAGTCATTGACGAGTGGACTGAGCCATGTCAGTAATTGTCGAATACCTGGTTGGGGTCCACGAGATGATAATAATCGATGCTTAGAGACCTTGAATGATATGGCTCAAAATCGTTCGCAATGGCGCCAGTGCATTTATTCTTTGTGTTCTCTCAAATCCTAATCTCCTAGATTCTTCAACCCCTCTAGTTTCGACTCTCTAAACTTTTCTCACTGAATCATACTTCTTGAATAGTATCTTCTAATCCTAACCTCTCCGATTACTCCTAATACCTTTACTACCTCTTCTACTATTGGATTTGAATTGACAATTATATCTCTGTGCTGATGTGGTATGGCGACATGAACTGATGTACTTACGTACGAAGTTCTACGTTGCATCACTATCACTGTCACTGGTATAGCAACTTGAACTGACTGACATACGTATGTACCAAGTTCGTGCTTGTAGCTGACTGATTGACTGAGTGAGTAAAGACAGATACATTTCATTCTTTATTGTATTCTAGATCTTGAATTTCTACATTATTTTATACTTTTCTAAGTTTATTTCACATCTTCTCCTTATATTATTCAAACGTCAATCATTCAATTACCAATAATAATTATACAATCAATGTGTTTTGTTCAATTTTCAAATTTAATTTTAGTTTAAATGTTCAAATAAATGTTTGAAGTGTATTTTTAATAGTTTTTTCTTATCGGATCTTTGTTACTGGACTAAATAGAGTTCAGTTTCCTGCA